GCGATAGACTTACCTCCACGTGGTGCACCCTGGAAAACGTTTACTCATACGGCAAAAAATTGTCTATTAACCAGTAGTTCACCTCCGACTTCAAACTACCATGACTCCAATGTATGCTGTATTTGACCCCTTTCACAGTACTCACCTCACCTTTTTTCTACCTTTGTGCCTGTCTCTTTTACATCTGTGAATCACTCTTCTGTTCCCCCCTCCCCCTCTCGACTTTTTTCACTTTGATGTTCACCCTCCTCTCTGTGAAGCCCGAAGCCAACCAAATGGCTAATGATAACCATCAAAACGCCTGCCATTTGATATAAATAAATAAAAGATTGTGAATTGGAGGGAATATGATTTGGCATAATTTTCCCTGTTCACTTCCGGGATTTACAAGCTTTATGTATCGAAATGAGGAGGGGTTTTAGCAAATGTTACAGTGGACAGCAATTCAACACTTGCTGACAAATTGCAGAATGGAAGAGGTACGCAATTTTTGGATCAACGAAGTTGTAAAATGCGTTCGATCTTCCATCGAGGTTATGAGAATATTTTTTCACTGGACAAAGGTATAATAAACTGAAAATTGATAATCAATGCCAATTTATTTTTAAGTTATAAAAGAAACAATTTCCTACTTTCTCTTGCAAAGAAAATCAATCGAAAAATTACTTTAAGTTTATAAATAATTGCGAGCCTAACAAGCAGGTCGGCACGTGAACACAGAAGATTTTCTGACGAACTAATTCTAGCCCACTTACAACGGTCCTCTTTGTGGCTGAAAAGATCTTTAAAATGACGTCAACTCACTAGTACCTCTGCATGTTTTACGATACGTCAACGATTTTAACGCTGAGAGTTCTACACTCGGTACTTCGTTCAATCTTTGACAAAGATTCACAATTGCCTTTGCGCAAATAAGTCGGGTTTCGAGCCATGAATGTAAAAATTGCGTCTTACTTTTAGTATAATCCATATTTATTCAAACGGGTTGTGGGATAGACTTACCTCCTCGTGGTGCACCCTGGGCAACGTATATTCATACGGCAAAAAAGTCTATTAACCGGCAGTTGACTTCTGACTTTAAACTACCATCACCCTACTGTATGTCATATTCGACCCCTTTCACTGTACTCACCTTACCCTTTCTGAGCCTTTGTGTGTCTGTCTCTTTTACATCTGTGAATCACTCTTCTATTCACCCTCCCGAATTCTTCTCACTTTGATGTTCCTCCTCCCCTCTGTGAAGGCCGAAGTCAACTAAAGGGCTAATGATAACTATCAAAACGCCTGCCATTTGTTATCAATATTTATTCAGTCCTTTGTCTAAAGGATTAGATGTTCACATTGGGGAGTTTGATTGCTCAAAATATGAAAATTCTCGAGTGTTCTTTGTTAAAGCAGCAACGGCTCAGACTCATGGAGTAGAACAAATGAGCTATTTTATTTTAAGCGGCCGATTCCTATTACCGAAACAAGTGCACTTAAATAGACTTGAAGATTCGAGAAATGATTGGCTACCTGGTTAACCAATGATTACAGCGATGACTTCTCAACGGATGATCCAACGTAAAACCTGGCGTGAAAGTGGGAATCCAATAGAAACGACAAACCAGAAGAGGGAGGTTAAAATGTGAGTTTATCGTGAGCATAGTACAAATATTCAAGTTGGTTTATTCGCGAAGACAATTTATACAGTTGGAATTCCATTTATTTTGTTGAAGGTCTATTTATGTTAGCAAACTATTATCCCATTCGTGGTGTATTAAAAAAACTACCACGATTGGTTAAATGAAGTAGACCATTTCGTCATAAAAAGAATAGCATCGCCACTATTGACAAACTTTCCAATCTCCAAGACACTTGTCCTCCTGTACACTTGGAAACACGGACGGAAATTTATTTGTTCGAGAAGCAACTTTGCTCAACAATTTTAAAAAGTATAAATGTAAATATTACTAATATTTACTATAATCTGAAGCCCGGATTGAAAATGGAGAGAACGAAGTAAAGCCAACGGTCGGATTTTTTAGGGAGAAAACCATATAAATTTTACTCGATTAATTTGTTTAAATAAGAAGTAAAAGCCTGCCGTTTATAAGTTCCATGGATTGAGTATTGTAAATCGACCTACGTCATCAAATGAAAAATGGATTTTAAGCTCAAAAAGTGGTTAGCTTTAAAACAGAAATTCGACAATTCCAATTTTTTTGCACATAATTGCAAGTTTGTAACTATTACTAGATAACTACCGTTAAAACAACTCCAAAATTCATGTTGAGCAAGGGAGAATTGGTCTTACTTTTACCGACTAGCAAAAGAGGGCTTCGAATTTCAACAACAACGATTTTTGTCCTAGGGTGGCTATAAACAGATTCTTCGGTTCGTAAGCGTTTTAGTTTCTCTTCATCAGTCAGGTGCCTATAAAAATTTGAAAGCAGGAATATGGTAGCGCAAATGGGAAGATAAAAAGTTAATTCTTCTAATAACCACAACGGTTTCGGTGCAGTTACTTCATCACGGCTGAAATACCGAAAGGAGTGCATTTTCAATCCCTCACTCTCTCTCTCTCTCTATCTCTCTCTTTCAAAAGCGTAAGATGTCAGATCAAATGGGTTTGCCCAAGTGACTTTATCAACTGTATGCAATAGACCATAGAGATAAAGATTGGTGTTAAACAAAGTTATCGATTTTCAGAAAAAGACATTACTGACATAGTTATTATTAGTCACATTTTAAAACTGAGCCTGGTGCGATGGGAGGAAACGCAAAGAGCAACGTAGAGGAGCTAAGAGTGACAGATGGCAGTCAATAACATGGGAATGGGGGATGTGCGATAGACTTACCTCCACGTGGTACACCCTGGGCAACGTATACTCATACGGCAAAAAAAGTCTATTGACTGGCAGTTGACCATCACCTCACTCTATGCTTGATCCCATTGTATGTCATATTCGACTACTTCCACAGTACTTATGACCCCACTGTATGTCATATTCGACCACTTTCACAGTACTTTCCCACTCTATGTCATATTCGACTACTTCCACAGTACTCACATCACCTTTTTTCTACCTTTGTGTCTGTCTCTTTTACATCTATGAAACACTTCACTCTATGCCATATTTGACTATTTTCACAGTACTCACTACCTTTTTTCTACCTTTGTGTCTGTCTCTTTTACATCTTTTAAACACTCTTTTGTTGTATGTCATATTCGACTACTTCCACAGTACCCACCTCACCTTTTTTCTACCTTTGTGTTTGTCTCTTACATCTTTGAACACTCTTCTCTTCCCTCCCCCCTCTCGAATTTTTCTCACTTTGATGTTCTTCCTCCCCTCTGTGAAGCCTGAAGTCAACTAAAGGGCTAATGATAACCATCAAAACGCCTGCCGTTTGAAATAAATTAATAACATGGGAATGCAGTTGCCAAAAGTCGAAGGGAAAAAAGAAAAAAGCTGAGTGATGGCGGAAGTGGACGGAAGTTGGGAATTTGAGCCACAGAGGCTAAAAGCGTTTCATTTCGAAAATCCTAAATATTGTCATAGAGAGGTTAAGATTGAAGAATGCGTCTTTGAAACGCATAGGGGAGTCGTATTACAAGTGTAGTGTGGATATATTTTAGCTGCTCGTCAAGGGTGATGTGTATTCCAGTCGAAAAATCGTACAAGAGACACGAAATTTGAGAAGAGGGCAGTTTACCCAACTGACCTTGAGTAATGTCCGCACAAACCATCATTAAAAAAGGGAGAAATCAATCACTATGCCTAAATGCTGCTCACTGCAATGATTTCTCGGAAGTGTTAACATTTTTAAATACAAATTTTCCTTTAAAAAATTTTGATAAACAACATCAATAACCATCGAATTCTCTGAGACGGTCATTCTCAGAACATTCATTTTTTGCGTGAATCAATTCTCCTACTGAGAGATTTCCTCAACATATATTATTAACAAACCGTATTTTTCATTATTTACTTTCATTGTTTATTCCTATCAGGTTAATAGGGAGATGATGAATTTGTGTCTTCATTATGCAAAACAGCCAGTCACGTTGTGTTCATCTGACAACTGGAGTTTACAATGTGAAGTTATAAGTTTTATAGTTGGAGTTATTGTGAAAAAAAATGGATTCAGAATATGCAGATATCTGATGGCGTATATTAAAGTACAGTAAATGTCAATAATTTACTTATAAAAATTATATTAGCAGTATTCATTGTACGTAAAATATAATGATAGTTCATGTTAACCGATTGATAGTTTATGGCAAAAGGTCTCCTTTGCCATATTCTCAACCAGTATTGACCCACTAGAAGCAAACAATCAACTCAGAACTGAATTTCTCACTACTGAAATAAAACCTTACCTTCATACAAACAAACTTATTCCTATTATTATTTTCTAATTTTATTCAAATCAATAAGAGCATTCCATTAAGTTTCCATTTTACTTATTAAAAAAAATCAAAGATAATCTTGCTTTGGCATTACTTTTTCTCCAGAAGACATGGCAGTCAATTTGATATTTGAGTTATTTATAGACCTGCCATAAAGGACGGCTCAAGTTAGGCAAAAAAATTTGGTGTATGATGGCACTCGCGCTGATAACCTTGAAATACGGAGAAGTGTGGTTGTATTCGCCAATTGAGGCACTATGGTTTCAGCTTCCTTCTTTTAACAGAAATGAAATGTTGGAATGACAGATGTGATTACCAATCGGTTTATAAATATCCCAATGGGGTAAGCTGTTTACGCAATAGGAAAAGACAAGGATTAATGCCAACTTTTGACATTCCATATCTACTATTTATTCTTTGTCTTAGTACTAAAACCCATTGCTCGAATTACAAAATTAATGAACAACACATTCATTGCTTGAAATTAAAATAAATCAAGTCAGTCATAGCAGCAGCAGCCGTAGTATCGACTGTTCAATAGCAGCAAATTTCAAAGTCGCGTGTGAGCTACAAAAAGTCGAATTCTGGAAATACTTCCATGCAGTTGAAGAGCCTGCTTAGGAAAATGCCCTGAAAATTCTAATGTCTTTAACAAAAAAAAACACCTCGCTCTGAGATGCTTACACAACTATTTCCTACCTTTTGTCACGTATGGGCAAAAAGACGGGAAGTTTAAAATAAATATTAAAAAAAACAGTAAAACCCTTCAAGGTGGGAATAAAAGTGAGCAAAGGGGAATTTTAAAACCTGCTCATCCTTGAGACGCTGTTGAGCACGGGCTATTTTATCTGCTTCTAATCGTTCGATAGCAGCCTGTAATGCAGCAATCTCACTCAGTTGGCCATCTCTCTTCGAAGCCTGTTCCTCTAACTCTTCAAGGACATGAATGACCTTGGGCATTAGTCCGCAAATAGAATCTCCTCCATGGCTATCAATAAGAGCCTCAAAGTCTTTACCGATCGCAGCTGCCATCTCATAGACCTCCGCAACACTAACGAAATCGGTCTCATTTCTCGCCGTTGCCTCGCAATCCCAAGTCTGCGAAGTGCTTTCACCCTCCAGAAGGCCCTCTGCTGCTGCCGCTGCTTCTGCAGAAGCATCACAAGGAAAACCAGATTTCCACTCAGAAGACGCCAGCATGCGATGTATTTGTTCTATGTTAGTAACGAAATGTACGCATTTCACATGAGTGTTAAGCGAAAAAGAAAGAAATACATTGAATTCCAAAAACGAGTAATGAATCGATGCTTGTCTTCGACCAAATTTTCTCCAATAAAAAATATGATTTGCCCCAAATTTTTATTTTGCAGTCTCAACTCTGGTAGCCCAATTGTGCCCATAAATGCCGACTACTTCACTAATTCCCACCTAACGACAACAGCTTGAACTATTAACAATCCCTCACCCCTCCCGCCCCCACACCCCACCGCAGCAGACTTCAGAAGATAAGTAGCTAGTCTCTGCAATAACTTACCAAAACTGTTAAGTAAATCTTATCGCAAAGAGGCGGTTGTTGTTGAATTGACAAAATGAGGGTATTTAACATTTTTGCCACATTATCTCTTCAATAATGATGCCAAAACACATCTCCTGCCAGATTTAAAATGTAATGAGGTAAATGTTTGAAATGTAGCAGAAAAAATTGATTCGATTTCCATATGTGGTTATCCTATGGGTAAATCATTTTATTAGCAATCAAAAGGTGTTTTTTCATACATTTAAATGTATATAATGTGGTTAAGCACAAATTCGCTCAAACCTAATTGCCTTGTATAATGATATTAACCAAGATGTACTAAGTCAAATTCAACACTCGCATTCAAATGAACAAAAATTTATCAATTAAGATTGTGATAAGGTAAAGGAGTCGCATGAAAATAAACGATAGAAGCTTAGAATAATATTATATACCACAATAAAATCAAATGAATATTTTGAGAATAAAATATTAATATTAAATAAAATACTATTTATATTTATGACTACATCTGGTTTAACAAATATTCTCTTAAAATTAGCATTATCAAGGAAATATAGTTCAAGCTTGGCCAAAAAATGTTCACTGACACAGAATATCTGAACAACATAAACATACCTTAGTTTAACCTAAATAAATCAAATTTAAAGCTATAAGAGGGCAATCAGAGAAATCATATCACTTTAAATAAAATGATCATAGAAAGGAAATTGAAGGAAAGTACCGCATATTTGTAATAAAGATTAAGCTATGAAATTTTTATACCGAATAAAGAGGAATGAATATTTAAAGTAACTTAAAAATAATTTAAATTTAAAACACACAAAGTTGAGGGACACAAAATCTTTCAAATACCGATTAAGCAGCATGCTAATTGCAATAAAGGAATGAATTCAAAACATTTTATAAATAAACTTCCGTAATAATTGGGCATTCAGATAATAATTTAAGCACTAAAGCAACTTTACCAGACTTACGATAAAAGCCGCTGAATGTCCGACCTTCAAACGGCCTTAAAGAAAATTATAATGAAAAAGATTAAAACTTAATCGAAACGGGGCTATGTAATATCAATAAAAATAAAACTTTGAAAAGTGCACAATAGCAAACATTTAAAGTCGTATAATATAAGTAAACTATTGAAACGTTTTTTGATGATTATTGCCTTTACTATCTTGAAGTATAATAAAATAACAGAGTCAGTTTTATTGTGAACTTTCAAGATGGCATTTATAATTTGCAATAGAAACATTCGAACAAATTTTCATGTCTAAGTTAAACTTTCAGGTACAAATGTTGACACTATCATTCAAGTAATGATTCAAGTTGAGCTCTAATTGATATCAAGCAAAGATGCATTCAAGCAAACGAATGCTTGATAGTAGGTTAGCACTCAATAAAATCTACAAAAGGAATTTTTCAGTAAATCGAGTTTATCATTTTTCCTTTTCTTCTATGTTGAGCCTCTAAAATAAGTTATTTCTGGGACACAGATGAGCCCTTCAAGCTATGATTTGTGGCAATGTTCTATCTTCCTGGAAGAAAATTTAAAAATAATGTATATTTGGTTTTATTAAAGCATCTTATGCAAGAATTGCCATATCTCTCTATAAAATTAGTGGTAATCATCTGTTCTTAACGTTCTTAGAATTCTTTGATTTGATGAAATGGCGCTTGTTATTTTCATAGATTCATTATATCGACACTGAGAGTATTTTGTATTGAAATTATATTTTGAAATCACTGCGCTATGACCTTATCATATCTGCTTAAATTAATCCCATACGCACTCAGACGGTGTTGAAGTTGCGTCTGTTCAACTTCGAGCAGAGAGTAATTGTGGCCGTGATCGAGGAGAACACACAACCAACTGCCGACCAATAGTTCCTGCTTGATATAGCTATTCTACCACTTGTATTTAATGACTTTGCTCCCTGTCTTTATACACATAACACACCATTATACTTCATAGCTTTGCGGCAGGTAAGTCAATTCTTTTAGCCTTTTTTAACTTAGGAGAATTGGCTTTTAGTGTTGTAACCCGACACAAATCAATCTATAGGTAAAGTACAATAGATTGAGAGACTTATAAACTAACGCGAAAAATGATAAAAATAAGCTTAAAGCCAATTCACCGTGTAAATAAAAATAGTCTTTCCGATTACGCTCAGGCAGCAAAAACTAACGAGGTTTGCATCATGACATCACGGAATAAAACTCTTGAAAAATAAAGCTTTGCTAACACGAAAATTGTAATTGTTTCCAACAACGTTATGAAAATTATATTTAAACGATGACTTTTAAAAACTATTGATGATTTTCGTTAAATTATGGTACTTTTTTATCATTCAACTTTCAGAAATTTAATCAATAAAGCTTATCAATTCAGAATAGCGCATAAACAGATATCGATTTCTATTTTTAACTTCTATTTAATGATGTATTAGCTTAATGAACTGAAAATATACCACTGCGAATAAAAAATAAAGAATTATGATAAATCAAAACGTATTATTCATCAACATTTTAGAACAAAATTTAGTTTAAATTTTCGTTCTCTAAGGCGGCTCAGTCGTGACCTGTTTTGCGTGTGTAGCGTGTTTGTCACGTTATTATATGATGATGACTTCTCAGGTACTGTGGCTTTTTCTATTCTAACAATTTTAGAACAACTCTGACTTGGCTTTTCTCGATGTTTTACTCGTAAATGCCGAGAAATACAATCAGGTTTTCATTCAAAAAACGAAGCCGTCTTGGATTTCTCACATTCTTCCCCGTCTAATTCGCAGTCCGGTTCACTTCAACAAGATGTTTGAAATTCTTGTTGACGTGGTTGTATCAGAACGCCATCCTGACTGGGCTAGGCGAGCTCTTCAATGGTTAACCAGGATATTTGATAATCCGGAGGCAGTCGAAATGGCTAAACGGTGTACCTCCTCAATGCATCGTTTTGTGTCGTATTGCTCCGAAATGAATGGTATTGAAGACCTTGTCAATTCCACCCTCAAATACATAAATTATGAACGTGAAAATAAAATTAACAGGCGTTCTAGGGGTGGAATTGTTGTCGTCGATACAAAATATCTGTTCATCGATGGTATGTGTGTTCTTACTACTTTTATCGAAATTTTTATTAATGTCCTATTAAATAATGGCTGTCGTTTGTAGACCCTCAACTTCGCTTTGGTGCGTTTAAAAAACGATCCAAAAAGGAGGTTGAATCTGGCATTGAAGGTAGTGGAGAAGATATGGATAATGCTCTCTCTGACGATCAATGTTCGGAGCTTAATTTAGATGATGGTGACAATTCAAGTATTTCAGAGGATGAAGTCTCCGAGGACGACGGCGTTTTTGATGTTGATAGGAATTCGCTGTCTTCGTTCACTGAAAGTCAAAATTCTACTTTATTCCCGCAACCTCGTACAGCCAGAGTTGAAGCAGTTTCATTTGAAGATGATAGCGACTCTGCTGCACAAATTGGCAGTGATGAGAACGTCTCCGATGTAAGTTTAATTTTCAAGTTCGTTGAGCTTTCGTACAAATTTTGTTCAATTTTTTTTGGCAAATTTTTATATGAATAGACTTTTCTCACGAATCTTACAGAATTGAATTCAAGTGTTAGTTAAAAATGTATGTTTCTCTTTGATTTTCAAATATACCATTAAGGAAATGTACGCGCGGGAGATATTGTTTTCTAAGCCTTATCTGATTGTATTTTATTTTGAAATAATACTAAGACATGGTTTAAAAGAAGGCCGATTTGAGGGTGCTGCAACATGAGAAAGTATGGCTGATCTGTTCGAATATTACTTTCTTTCTCTGTAGCCGCCATTTTGTGCACACTTTTCAGTTTCTCTCATTACCTGGTAGACCTGGTTAGGTCTTTCTTAAACTAAGTCGTCTCTTTAATCGATTTATTTCATTGTTGTCATTATGGGAGAAACTATTTCGCATTTCACGTTGTTTTGTCCTTTGAATGACATCTCCTTAATTTTTCTTGAAAACTTTTCAAGCGGCATTAATTTAAATCGTTTTGTTGAAATGTCTTATTTTTGTCTTTGTTTCCTTTAAACGTTTCAATTGCCTCATGTGGAAAATATTGAAAAACGATGCACACATCTTTTTCGCTACGAATCAGTCCTCGTGGAAAAAGTCAAGCATAGGCCTTACAAAATTGGTGGTGCCGATATTCGAGCCTCGCTCTCTATTCATAGTTTTTTTACGATTTGCGTTTTCTTTCTCCCACTTTCTTTAACTACATCGATTCTTAGTTGCCCACTTTTTAAATATCTGGACTTATGATTATCTGCCTTTAAGTATTTGTTCTTCTGCATTCTTCACCTTTGCAGCTCGTTCCCTGTTTGCCACAACTCCTGAAGCTACCAGCTTCCTCAAACTCCCGGTCTTCCAACTATTTTAAAGGAGTCCTATTTTTTGCTCTTGTTGCGGCGTCTATTTGTATTTGGAGAAATGTCATGTGCATTATTTTTTGCCGATCGTTCCTGTTGATAGGGCTTATTTCATGGTCATTACTGTTTTATTGTACTGCATTCGTATAACCATGTCAGTTGGGGGACTACACTGTTTAATCTATTTTCATGAAAGGTAAAAAAAACAGTTCATTCACACCCATTTACACTATTCGTTTAGCTGCCGTTCAAGAGGTTCCAATGTATATCGCCGCGTTTAGGTTTATTAAACTTTCACTCGAATTTGTCTTCGATCTTACTTGTTATTTTATGGTAGTGTAAATTCATCCGCTGGCATTCATTCATTCAATTTTTGATTTCGTAGAATGTGGAAAGCGAAGAAGAGGAGGAGGGAGATGAAGGCGATGATATGTTGAATGTTGACCAGCCCCTTCCTTCGTCTTCCGAAGATGAGGCCGAAGAGAGAGAAGATAGTGACGGTAGTTCTAATGATAGCAATGCTGGAAGTGACAACGAAGTGCCAAGTGCAGATCAGGAGGTGGGCGAGGAAGAGAAAGTGGAGGAACAAGGACAGCAGAATTCCATTTCTTCTTCTTCTTCTTCTTCTTCTGAGGAGGAGGAGGAGGAGAAAAGTAGGGTGGCGGCTCCAAGGCGTTCAGCCAGGATCATGAAAAGGCATTGAGATAATTTGTTGCACTTTTGAAGGCACATTTGTACAGTTTTGTAAATACATACTTTTATTCAACCCACTTCTTTTTGCTTTAATGGAAGGTGTGTGTGTAGGCATATCACGCATGTTATTAACTGTCTGTAAGTAGAGTATGTTTTTCAGAATTTTCGCTCAGTTGCCGTCAAATTGGAAGCTTCTGCATCTTATATTGACTAGTGTTACTCAAAGCCTTTCTCCCAGGTCTTAAATAAGGGGTAATTTTATCATTTTAACATTAAGAATAGCAGCTGACTAAATAGCTCAACTTCTGAGTTAGCCATTAATGGGGATACACGTGTGTGCGTGTGTACTTCTCAAAAACCCATTGTTTTCCTTGCAGTAGGCCGTTAAAATGCATTGAAAGGGTCAAATTGTTTCAAGTTACTAACGAGGTGAATACTAAATTTGGCGAGGAAAGTATATAAATGAAGATGCTACTACTATTGAAGTATGTAGGAAAATTTGCAATTGGATAGCCTCCCATTTATTTAAGCGAATTCTTAGCCACAAAGTGAGAGGAAATGAGCGTCAGAAAGATGGTAGGCGATACAGAACAGCCCTTTCACCATAATGATCATACTCTTCTACCACTGTATATGATGCTACGTCAAGACCGCATCTTCTTATGCTGGCTTCGCGTTGGTTCACGGCACATATACGATGCCAATCATTCTTAGTGCGTTTTCTTGAAGAGAGTAGATCAATTGGGAGAGCATTACCTGTCAACATGTATTTTCGATAATTGCAGAGGACAAAGCGTTCCATTGTTTGTTTATATCACGTCTAGAAAAGTTAGCAGATCCCTATCATGACACATTTGCTAACAACTATGCTAATTAGGAAGCCTCAGGGAGTGGATTTGAGGTGGAAGTTGAATCCTCTTTTCTGTAATTCTGTGCTCGACCACAAAGCCTTGCTCCTCAATCTACTAATATTTGAAAGCCATGCCTCCATTTCATGCTTCTCCTTGCGGGCACTTTCAATTACTATCGGCAAGCAAACTAATTCATTTGCAGGCTAACGTGACGATTGGCAGGAGGGAACATTCTAAGCGAATAATATCACCTCAATATTATATTCGCAAATTGAAAACCTGAAATGCGCATTTGAAGCCACTTTGATTTTATTAAATTTTGACGAAATCAGAAGAAATGCTCTCCAGCAACAAAAAGCGTTAACACTTAAAAAGGCAACCAAATACTATAAAAATCATAATTCCAATTCAGAAAACTTGCAAGTTATGTTTATCGTGAGTTGATAAGTGAACATGTTATCTATATCAATACGCAACAAATTCACACACACATTTTAATAAAGTGGAAAAGTGAAATTCCTGTTAAGGCGGCATATAAACATTTTGTTCTCAGTTCATTGAAAGACGAATATCCGGAAGACGGGCTATGAGATCCTGATGCCTAAGATCAGACACCAAGTGTCAGGGGTTGAAAATACTTTGTCGATTCTTAGACATGCACTCCTCCTTCAAGAGTGGAACAGCAAGATCTCTTAGCGGATCAGTGCTTTCGTCATAGGTGGGTATGGTGATGCCTAGGTGATCTAGAGTTGCCTTGAGGATATCATCACAATTAGAACGACAAACAAAAACCGCATATCTGTCAATGGGAGTCTTTTGAAAATTTATGATTGCATAGTCACAAGTATAAGAATCGTCTTCTTCGCTTTCTCCCCTTTTTGCCACTTCCGAGTCCGCACGAGATCGTTTGGCAGGAGGAGGAGGAGATTCTTTCCTGCTGCTGCTGCTGCTGGTGGTGGTGGGAACTCCAGAATGGAATGGCCAAAAGTGCAGATAATTGCTCATCACTTTAAGGGAGGAGCCAATAGCCAGGATTAGAGTTGCCGGCTCATCGTCATATGAGCAGAGAGTCGTTGCGCTATTACCATTTGACTCCGCACTACAAATAAGAAAACAGGATTCATATGATGTACAAAAATAAGACTCAATAAACAAGAATTTAGACCGATTTTTTGTGAACATACAGGAGAAAATCTAGACTAGTTTTACAATCAATGCAATGGCGCATTGAGAAGAAAAAGCGATTAGTGAAATGTGGGTACGTTAACCTCGAAAACAGCGCTATTTGCGCAAACAAAACTGCGACTGGTGTCGTCTTCCAATTGGGGCAACACGGATTGAGAATAAAAAAATTTCCATTTCGTCAAAGCTCAGTCATAAATCCGCCTGTAATCACTTCCATTCAAATTTATTTATTTATATCAAATGGCAGGCGTTTTGATAGTTATCATTAGCCCTTTAGTGGACTTCAGGATTCACAGAGGGGAGGAAACATCAAATTGAAAAAGTCGAGATG